TTTGTAAGTCTAGCGACTCCAACCTTGCGGAGATTATCGTGGGTGCGAGCAATGCGCCCACTCAATTCCGCTTGCGCGCTGATCAACGCCTCCATCGTCGCCCGAGGTTGACACTATGCACTTAGTGGGCTGTTCACCCCACACTCACTACCTTTAGAAAAATGCCAGTGCGCAAGCAACGCGAAGAAAATCCGGCTCGAAGGACCAACTATGTTGCAAGTGAGGGTCAAAAAAAAGGAGAGTCATCTCGACACGAATAAAATAACAAAACAATCGTTTATTTTAACAGCGCGACGAAGCGCTCAATAATATCGTAGGCTTGCTAATGAGCGCTAATGAGCTAATTAAATCGCCACAGACCAGCGGATTCACTTTTCGCGGAAATGCACGCGATGGTGTGATCGAGACGTACCTAGAAATCTGTCTGGTGAACGCTTCCTGGGAAGAATGTCCGTCTCCAAAAGCCCAAGCAGTCTCAGTCGGTTAGCACGTGCACATCGAGCACATGGGCCCCGGCGATTGGTCCACGTCGCTGACACCGCTGCGAGAATCTAACGTCAAGATCAGCTGTGTATACACAGTAAAATAGCACATTGTCATATTGCCGACAAAACGCCAAGTTTACCTACATGCGAGATTCACATGTACACGAGGTAAACACACATAAATTAAAAAATTTCATATTTTTCGAAAACTTAAATATACCATTACATAGAACATAAAATACCATTAAACTTTCATCTAATCATTTTTTCATACATCTCATAGTTTAGAACATATTTCCAAAAAACGAAAAAATCCGTTATTTTCGAGGAGTGTTTCCAACCTCTAAACGTGGAGATACGCAGATAAAGAAAGATGACCTAATTATTTTTTGCTGCTCTACAACATATCCAAAGCCCACCTAAATCGGTGAGGGACAATTCCGACGGTTTACTTGTAAGTGAAAATGTGACTATTTCTATTATACTCAAAATAAACAATTCTTTTTACGATGATTAACAATTAAATTACATATCTTTATATTTTACTTCTATAAAAAAATGTTAAACATTTTTTTTAATTTATCATTTTATTCTATTTATTGATAAATATTTTAATAAACAAAAATATATTATTAATATTTCAATCGTCGGGAAATGTTTAAGTACTGAGACGTTTACCTTATGTGTAGAGAAAGAACACTAACGAATTTATTAAAATATATTATTTTTCTTATATGCTCACAAACATAAGTACGAGTATCTTTTTCTATCTCTTTTATCTTACTTATTATTATTCTTTTATTTTATATTTTCTGCTGTAATATTTTCTCCTATGATGCACGTATTCATATATACTATAGCTATATATTCTTATCTTGAGCTACAGCATTGGAGTTTCGTCGCTGGCACAAAAATTCATCAGCGTATGAATTATTTGAATATTATATGGTTATCGCTATTTTTCATTTTCTTTGTGATGATCGGTACGGCATCTAAAACTACTAAAAGAGAAGAAAGAGAGAGAGAGAGAGAGAGAGAGAGAGAGAGAGAGAGAGAGAGAGAGAGAGAGAGAGAGAGAGAGAGAGGGAGAGAGTAAAAGAGAGGGGAGGGAGGAAAGAAATATCTTATCCTAAAATTATCCTTAAATCTTTCTTTAATTATCTTTTAACTCTTCAACTTTTCTTAACCTTTCGTTTGTTTCTTTATTGATGCAGTTGCCACGGAATTGAAAATCGGCATGCTGCGAAGCAAGAGAAGCGTCCGTCGCAGAAGCTCGAAACGTCCTGGCCTTTTTGCTTGTAAGTCCAATTTTTTTACTTTTCCTGATTGCGACGATGTAATAGCGAGACAGGATTGTCTATCATAAGACTCCCTTTCAAACATATAGAGGAAACATATATAGAAAACAAATTTATATTTTACCATTATTTTTTTCTCGCTTATTAGTCGAATGCGACACATATTCCAGTCAGTGAACCACAATGTTGATTTGACTTAAATTCGACGTAAAAACAATTGACATGTTGAATTGAATAGAGGTCGATTTTGAATAGAGGACGATATCGATACGTATGATTTTCCACTTTTTGCAATGTATATCATTTATTTTAACTGCCTGTAACTGTTTATTACTAACAGTCAATAATAAATCAATCATAACGTTTTATCGTCGTTTCAAATATTTTTTCAATGAATTATGTCTGTCTAAGTTACCAACAGTGATGGGTAAGATACATTCCAAATATATCTCAATACAGATACAGATACATGTATGTGATCTGTATGCATTTGCTTCTCGTATATTACTAACATTCAAGATGTTACCATAATGCTAAGAATTTATTAGTATGTGATCGATTTAATTAACCGTAACACTATATAACAAGTGATATCTATCTTTTTTTATATATAGGACGTCCGGTAATTAGCTACCAACCCGAAGTATGAAGGTAGATTGGGTTAAATTGAAAATAAAAGTAAAATACAATTTTACAAGAATCGCAATAATTATCAAGTTGTTAATGACAGAAATCTGACGAATGAGCGCGCGCCGAGATCTCAGGCCATAGTGCGGCCCAGTCGACCTAACAACTGTTGGCGGCATGCGGTGAGATAAAACACGAATAGCAGCACGTTGTCCTTCCCTTCGCCGCGCACCGGCAACAGCTGCTGCATCAACTGGGCCGCGTTGTGACCCGAGTGGCTGCGACGCTTCAATTATACAGATCTGCAAAATTTCAAAAACTTCATGCGTATTCGAATTCAAAGGCTATTTCCTTCGTAATTTTGTCCGCTGAATACGAATCCGGCCTTAGAATTTTTTTAACACGTCAGGTTTTCGAGATAATTAGGTTTAGGTAGTCAAAAAATGTCAATTTTGACTATATTCAACCGATTATTGCTAACAAAGTAATTTTTTTTTCAACAAATTTACTAACGGCATCTTAATATACTATTCATCTTTTTTAAAATGACAGTAAAATTTCCTAGAAAATTTTCACTATGTGAACAATGATGTTTAGTTGGTATATAGTATTATAAAAATAACTTCTAAATAATCCTATTTTTGTGCTTTCATAAATAAATTTATCAATTTATGTTATGCTAGAGAAATAGACTGTCACATAATGTCTATAATATGCGTGAAAAAAATTAGCCCCCTACTTTTGAGATAACAAAGATTTGAATGTTGTGCTGAATTGTGCTAAGTTTGTGCTACATTGTGCCAGAATAATAAAGTTGAAATTTAAAAAATACTCTCAAAAAATGAAAAAAACGATTTCTTTTACTAGTCCCGCACTTTTTGATTTTCGAAATTATAAGACCTGTATTAGGTTGTACTAGGTTGTGCTAACATTGTGCCAAAACATTACTTCTTAAAAATTACAACAAAAAAAGCTATGATAAAAAAACGATTTCGAGCAAAAAACACAAATATGATGATTATTTTGCTCCCTGTTAACAATAGCGCGTATAATTATAAATCTTAACTGTGCTAGCCTGGCACAACTCAGCACAACCCGCAGTTTCGCCAGCGCAACGATATAAAGGGTATATACTTTATTCTTGGTGCCACTCTTCGTGAAACAACTGAAAGTTCAAAAAGTCTGCTTCTAGTTATTATGTGGATATAATATTGTATATCTGAGTTGTGCTAGGCTAGCACAACTCAGCACAACCCGCAGTTTCGCCAGCACAATGACACAAAGGGTACTTTAAGTTTCAGACAAAAGTTATTAAGATTAATTGGTAGAAAAAGTTGGTATTAATAAAAAATTGAGATTTCTATTTAAGAAATGTAATAATTAGTAAATATCTCGAAAGTGGCGCCATCTATAAACAAAATTATATAGTTGCTATGTCTCCTTTGAAGCTATACAACTTTTTGTCTGAAACATTTTTCCCTAAAATGACGCGTTTACAAAAATGTCGAGTGGTACGGGTGGTCTGTGACAGCCGTGTATATTATTTGTTAGAGCGAATTTTGCATACAAAAAGAACGCCTTCAACTTAAATTAAAGCGAAAATCTAAACTGTCTTCAGCTAATTTAGCTAATATACGAGTTTGCAATAGCTTCAAGGTTTACGCAAAAGCTTTCCAGGGCATTCGATTATTGGATGATAGATCGTCGGATCAGAACATGTTCTCCGGGTTTTAGACGAAAATTAACGACGACGCTATGTTTAGCGGGTCAAAATCCTCTGGAAATGATATGTTTTGTTCGTTCTCCACGATAGGCCAAAATCGACCCTTTTTACCCATTGTTCTTTTACAATCAACAGAGCAAATGTGTTATTGTTGTCTATTATTCAAACATAAGCTAATATAAGAAAAAATTAATTTCGGTATCCATCATCAATTGTATTGCGATAAATATTTTGCGTTATTCCTTGACTTTGTTTTGTCTCGAATTAAATACCGACTTTGTTGGATGTTTAGTCGGTTAGATTTATTCGTCGAGCAAATAAATTAGCCAATTGAACTTAATTAGCGCCGGATGGGGGAATGTTTGAAAAAGATTTGATATTTTAACCCATATATTTGACATGATTGTGCTCAGAAAAAACTAAAACTGGCTTAATTTTTTGTTTGTTTGATGAACTTAAAAATTGTTCTAAGTATGTTACCGACCGTTGATTACACAGTGCGGCTGAACATGTAACTATACACAGGAATCACTGTTGGATAACTATGACGACGATGAGTATGAAAAATGGAAACAACTCCAACTCTTTATGACACATGACAATGTAGATAGTCATTTGTTTCGACCTTCCCATTCGAAACGTCCATTTATTTTCATGGTGAATACTATTTCTTTCCCCGTTTCTGAACTGATACTGAAAAGTTATACGCAAAGTTGTTGCAAGAAATGTAGGGGTTGGTTGTAAGCGACGGTCGCGAAGTATAGTGGCAGATAGCTGAACCAGGGTGGAGCTTGCGCAATGGCGGCTAGTTATCGATATCAAAGAGAGAGAGAGAGAGAGAGAGAGAGAGAGAGAGGAGGGAAGGAAGGAGAGAAAGGCGAGTGACGAGTTCATGGCGCGTGTATATTTTTGTGTATACATTCGTCATAGGGATTCGTCATAGGTTAGAGGAGAAAAACGTGTGTCTGGTGAACAGGTCTGGTGTCTGCGCTCCTTCTCGCCCAGGGAAGGCGCAGTAGGCGAAAACAGATTTTGTTCGTAATGTGTGGCAAAGGCAGCTTTCGGTAGTGAACAGTTTACTAGTAGTGCGAATGTACATATCATGAGTCTCTGTGCGCCTGGCAAATCGTGAGCGTTGTAAATCAACCAAAAAGTCCGAAATAAGCTCATTAGGACATTCCTTGAGGGATGATCACAATAGTCATGGAGTTTGATCGTTACTGGAGGATTGTGACTTTCGAAGATATGAAGATATGAAGGAATTATCCAGGAAAAGAAGCCAGGGAATCGCATCTAAGTGCGAATTTAGTGATAAAGGAATCGCGTTTTACTCGAAAAGTTCATCGGAGAGAAAGCACGATATGAGTATGTGACATGATACAAAGCACGATGATATGTGGCAGATAATGAATTGGAGACAATTGTGAGAGTGGTTTTTCGTGTCACAAACGGAGAATTACGATTGTCATTTATAGACGTTAGGAAACATATACACCATTAATAAGAACGTAATAAAAAATAAATGTGATGCCTCGTGAATGTGAATAACGTGCTATGCACATTAAAACTCGAAGAGAATCCGCGAGAAGAGTGAGGGAGCATGTAATATGCTGTAATATGCTGTGCGAGCGAGACAACACGTAGACGGTGTCTTCCAATCGATCGCTCGTGCTATCTTCCGTAAAATGGACGAGACGTTGGTAGTCTACATGGAGCGATCGTGAGAGATGTCAAGTCGGCCAGAGTGGATTTCGCTAATCGGAGTGAGTCGCGTCGGCATAGTCTTCGGCGTCGGCGTCGGCGTCGGCGCCGTCGGCGTCGGCGACACAGCGAAGTCGGGACGATGTCATTATCGATCTGAAAACAGGACAGGAGAGGAGGCTGATCGATCGTCGGTATCAATAGACTAGTGACTCTGCGAAACACTGGGTATAAAAGCATCGCGAGTCATTTGATCAATTGTTCGTTCGAGGAAACGCGATCTTCGGGTTACGTGCATCATCGACCAGCCGACTGACTGACTAAAAATCAATGATACGAATACGGTCATCGCTAACGTGTGTTGCGAGGGACTCAAGGCTTGGAGAGGATCCTCGGTGATAGGAGCCAATGGAAGTTGCCTTCTCCATCTGTAATTCACATGGTGCATTCTGAGGATGGATTTCTTATTTTTGTCTATCTAAGAAGCAGCACTTCTTGTTAGTACATGGTCTACGTCCTACTGTTCCTCAGTGTGTCTCGCACTGGTTGCACTACACGGAACAAATGAACTTGAATATCCGTTGCAAATAGTGAGAAGTCATATAGAATTGCGAAAGGGTGACATGGAGTCATTGTGGACAGGAAAGATTGTTGCTTGGAGTTTACTTATGTATGATATTATTGTAACTGGCATTATTGAGATCGTACAGGGAACATTCGGGGGACTGTTCAGTAATCCGGCAGTTCGATATATCGGCGGCAGTTAATGACGTTGACATTCTAATTTTATCCGAGATATATTGTACATGACGATCACTGATGGTGGAGGATTCGCGTTTTTCGCCTGACTCGTCGTCGCTCGTAGACGACGGGCCACGTTTCTGCGACAACAATGCCGCGGCCAATCGATATGTTCAACGATATGTAGAAAATTTCGCCTTTCTAAACGCGCCTTCCTGCCACGGTTCGATGTAATAAGGATAGTATTATATATGAGGTACACGTCGCTGCCGCTATATGGTACCGGCGATATATCATATATATATATATATATATATATGTGCGTATGTTACATATGTGGCACCGATATGTCGTTCTCAAATCTAATTTTTTGCCAT